GCAAGATGACAAAGATTACTTTCTGAATATTGACAACTGAATAATGTGTGACAACTGCGAAGACGAAGACGCTGTGGATGGATAACACTGTTAATCAGGCATGGTATTTGTGCCATGGTTACAGGTGACCTTGATTCAAGAGATTAGAATGTCGGATCAGTTTGGACAGGGATGTGGAGCAGCAGGGCAAAGAAGTTACTAATGAGAGTGGTCTAGCCCCTAATAGAAACTTCAATGTAGGACAAAAGTATTCGAGAATAAAATACTGGCTACTTGTAATAAAGGGATGGCAATATTCATGGGTAATTTTAATCTGTACAAAGTCTGGAAAATGGTTACCTGACTGAGGAGTTCATAGAATGCTTTAGTAATAGTTTCTTAGAGCAGCACATTCTGGGACCAAGAAGCAGCAGGTTATACTTGGTATTGGTAATGAGATTGGATTAATTAATGACTTTACAGTGAAAAGCATCTCTAGGTAGCAGTGACCCCAATATGATTGAATTTTTACACCCAATTTGAAAGGGAGAAGAATGAGTCTAGGATTAGTTTTTAAACATAAATAAGGGCAACTATGTAGGCATGAAAGCTGAGCCAGCTGAAGAGAACTGGAATAGACCAGGAGATAGATTAATAAAAAAAAATGGCTGACATTTAGGGGAGTGTTTCAGAATAAATATAATCCTACTATAAAGAAAAATTCCAAAGAATGGACCAACCAGTCATGTTTAACTAAAGGAGCTCAGGAAGGCATCAAACTTAAAGGGAAAAAAAGCATATAACTGTGATTAAGTGGCTAATCAGATGATTGGTTTAGAACTAAAAGGTTAACCAGGAGGAAGAAATTGGAGTATAATAAGTAGCCAGCTATAAATATAAAAATGAATGGCAAAAGTTTCTACAGGCATTTTGGAAGGGAAAGCGAATATAGCTGTCTAGAGAACGGGAATGGTGCGTCAGTTGAAAATAATAAGGAAATAGTGAATGAAAGGAATAAATATTTTGCCATCTTCAATGTATATCAACAATTTGGAAGAGAGAATCAAACACAATATTTCCAAGTTTGCTGATGATGCAGAACTAAGCGCGAGTGTGAGTGGTGAGAAGACATAAAGAGGCTTCAGACCAATTTAGACAGGTGAAGGAGTAGACAACTACATGACAGAAGCGGTGTAGCATGGAATAAGTGTGACATTACCAATTTCAGTAAGAAAAACAGAATGATGGAGTTTCATCTAGAAGGTGATAAATTGTGAAATATTGATGTACAAAAGGATCTGGGTGTCCTTGTACACAAGTCAATGAAAGTAACGAGGCAGGTGCAGCAAGCAGTTAGGAAGGTAAATGCTATGTTGGCCTTCATGACAAGAGAGTTTGACTACAAGAGCCAGGAAGTCTTCCTGCAGCTGTAATGGTCTGGTGAGACCAAACCTGGAGAATTGTGTGCAGTTTTGGTCTCTCTACCTAAGAAAACATATACTCATCATAAAGAACACACAACAAAGGTTCATCAACTTGATTCCTGGGATGGCAAGTTTGTCATGTGAGGAGGAATTGGGTCAATTGGGCCTGTATTTAATTGAATTTAGAAGAATGAGAGGGAACCTCATTGAAACAAAATTCTGACAGGGCTGGACAGACTGGATGTAGGGATGTTGCCCTGGCCAGGGCCTGTAGAACAAAGGGTCATGGACTCAGGACATTGATTGAGCCATTTTGGACCGTGATGAGGGGCAATTACATCATTCAGTGGGTAATGAATCTGCAAAATTGTCTACCAGAAAAGGACTCTGGAGGTCAAATCACTGAATACATTTAATAGATTGATTTCTAAAGGTTAAAGGTGTCAGGGGATATGGAAAGAGGTCAGGAGTATGGCGTTATGATAGAAGATCAGCCATGATCCTGTTAAAATTGTGAGACCGGCTAGATGGACTGAATGGTCTATTCCTGATCCTATTTTCTATTTTCCTACACAGGACACAAAACATATCCCAGTTACATCTGTAAATGAGGAGGTGGAAGGATGAGAGGAAATGACAACCATTGGGAAGGTTTACTGACCAACCAGATGGAGCTATGTGGTGACATGTCCCTGGGCCCTGATGGACTTCATCCAAAGGTCGTAAAAAGAGATGGGTCATGAGATTGTAGATGCCTTGGTGTTAATTTTGCAAAATTTGTTAGTTTCTGGAAAGATTCCATCAGACTAGAAAGTAGCAAACCTAACTCTGATATTCAAGAAGGGACAGAGGCAGCAAACAGTGAACTATAGGCCATGGGGAAGATGTTAGAATTAATCATTAAGGTGGTCGTAGCTGGCCAATTCAGGAAATTTACAGGCAGGCAAAATCCAGGAAGAAAGAATAGTTGAAAAAGACTTTCAGAGAACAGACATAGTCAGGATGTGCCATCACAGTAACGATTAGCCCGCACAGTTGCGGTGAACCCACACAAGAGATGGGTATTGTCAGTGCACATGTGCATGTGAAAGCAAATGTTGTGCTTTTGGATAATTCACTGCAGGGTAACAAGTAAGTGTGAAATAGGAGAGGGCTAAGTATAGACCTCTAGGGTCACCAGAGGTAATGAATGCTAAGGAGTACCGTGGATCCCATCT